TTAAACTGAGGGTATATCGCTTCGCAAAACTTCACGTTACGGTTATCTAGCATCCATTATGTGAGACAATTCTTTCTCAGCATGATAATGCAAGAAAATGCGAGATGTTCGTCTTAGAAGCATCGGCGTGATCCGTGAAAGGCTTTGTCATCGTGATGGCAGACGTAAGCCGACAAATCGACGGGAACAATAGCTACTGTACCTGCAGTTAGCGGTTCATGCACTTCCTGCCACCCCGCCCCCCTGCGGCCTGCCTCGTCCAGTGGATGTCGAGGATGTAAATCCAATCGTCCGGATCTGCAGGTACCCACTGGTAAATCAGGAACCAAACGAGCCACACTGAACTTCACCAGGTTAGGTAAGGTACTCTACGTTTTTGAGCCCCAGATCCACATTTCCATCCTTAATAAAAAAATGCCGAGGCCTTCAGCAATGGAAACGCCCGGATCTACACATGGATTCTATTTTAGAAGCTGTTTAAACGTTCGCCGATTGTCAACTCTATTTTAAGCTTAACATTGACGAAACCCATTTAACATCGACTTAGCTAACGTGAAGTCCTCGCTGCTTATTCCCACCTGTAGATGATGTCAGTAATCAACGGCAATATATGACGCCCACAACATCTTAATCAGCTGTTACTCTAGCTTACCAGGGATTTGAATGTCTAGAGTTGTGAGCAATTGGGTGGCATGTTGTCCATAACAGGAATATCGCAGGGCTCATCTGCCGACTGACGAACAAGGATTAAGAGGCACTTCGGTATGGCGCAGTGCCCAGAGTAGACACTTGATCGCAAGGAACTTCCGAAAATGGAAGCTCAACAAAAGGAATGCGATTTGGTGTTCGCGCACCATACGCTCTGCCATGTTTATTTAAATTCAGGATCTCAACGAGGTCCTGGGCTGATTCGTGATCTACCACATGACAGTGGAGATAAACTAAAGAAAGATACCGTTAGGTAAGAGATATGAATGAGATTTGCGTACTGGAAATATGAGGCTTCGGGCATATGTCAGTATACTGTTTTCGGACCCAATTTGTCCATAATTACTTGATCATGTCTGTTCATGCTAGTACTATGAGACGATGTGCTGCGGCTTTGCGCGACGCTGTAGCTGGCCCATAAATCATGCACGTGAGCAATGTAAGCAGTATTCTATACAATGGTAGTCAGACCGCAGTACGACCTCGAATGAGAAAATGTGACGAATGCATGGCTTCAAGAGTACCTACAATTTCAACTTCTTTTATCAGATCAGAGATTTGTGAAAGTCAACTTCAATTTCAAAGACTCGTCTAGACTTGTCTGATTAGCCATAGAGGAAGCGGCTCGTTTCAGGTGTTCCCTTAGTTGTGGCGTATAAGTTGTACGTACGAGTAGCTAAAATTGTCAAGCGAAAAAGTGGCTGCCCACAAGACCCTTGGCAACCCCACAGGTCTGTCTTCACGAGTCGCATTGCGTGCCGAGCTTCTGGGCAAGAGATCCTGCGGCACTCGGATATTTTTGAATACTTCTGCTATTTCCATGGTTCTCCAGATTTATAGCTAGGTTTACCATCAGGAGGCTGAGCTCCATACCTTAGAAATCGTCGGCATTGCCTGACTGTCAGGTGCCAAGGTAGCATGAGTCTCACTGTGACCTAGGGGCTCCCTTGCAGCGGGCTATTTGGGGTATGAGATCTGTGTATATAAGGACTGGGCGGCTCCCACTCTATGGGAGAGCCCAGGAATCAATAGCATTAACACCTTACCCCTACTATTCTAACTTAGCTACTGCTATAATCCTTCACTCTGGTGCAAAAGCACTTGACACCGACTAACTCGCTCTTCTTGAGCTATGTGTCATTTGGCTCGCCAGAAAATCTTCTTGCACCCTTGGTACACCAAAATTTGCGAAAGCTTTTATTTGCAAATATGAGCTATAAAACAACATTGCGCATGTGCTGTCAATATCGCATCAAAATGAACTAAAGCTTCGCAACAAGGCTGGACGATGGACGGGAAACACAAGCCAACTTCATAATACACTCAATCTCACAAAGGTATTAGCACCTGGTACTCGCGTAATCTCTCTCACAGGAATCTAATCAGATTCAATGGAGGTCTTCAGGTCAAACAGATATATAAATTGAGATTTCATGTGAAATCACGGTGCGGTAGCTAGTCGGGCACAACGAAGTACCGTGGCTATATTAATTGGCTTTGCGCAACACACCTTGATGTTCACATAGGGTCTATATGCTGCAGTTAGAAATTCATCGGCTTTCTCCTAGAGGGTAGCATTACTAACCTTCTGTGTAGTCCTCTGTATAGTCCTCGCTGCGCTGGTTATTCCAAGCCGATGTGGAATCTTACTCATATGTCATAAAACTGATTTTATCAACCACCCTTGCTGATAGAATGGTATTTACACATATTACTTTTTTTTGTGAAAAACAAGTGTGTATGTTGCTCAAGTCCAGGATGCTGATGAGAGTGCAAGATGTATATTTTTCATGTAACACGACTTCTACACCCTTGTTGCAAACTGAAGAAGAGCTTGAAAGAAGTCGCTTGTATCATAGTCTGATGGATCAATGAATGTTCTATTGTGTGGTTTATCTACCAACCGGAGCACAGCGCGCTCGTGACGTGCTTGCCGTACTTCATTCTGACTTGTGGACCAACTATGCCAAACTGCAAGCTCTCTGTCGCAAATTCTACAGTGCCGGTGCTGTAAATCAAGCTCAATTTCATCTGAAAGATGCTCATGCAGATTGATTGACACCCGGAAGCCAATCATGTTCGCTCAGAGAGGGTAATCGAATATCAAGCAGTCTATAGCCGGAGCCAGCGCAAACTTACGTGCACGCTGTCTGCTGTTTTGTCCTACTCCTTGTGTGACACTCACTCCAATCTCCGGGACAAGTAACGCCGTTTTCGTGCTACGTTCATTACAATTGTGTATCAAACAGGAGCACAACTGCTATCGGTGCCACACTGACATAACGTTGTGCGTAGGAGAGTGATAAATGATTTCTGGTCATTGCGTAGGTGATATTTGCGCACACAATCAACGGTCCAACCACCAATCTTGTGCGTGTAACATTGTTTGATTGCTTTGCTCACCTGCACGTATACATAAACAAGAGCTTCCCCATTCAACCAACTCCCAGCAAGTTTCCCGCATAGGTACAATTCCAGTCGCTCGTTTATTTGCACCTCGTTGTCTCGTCTCAACAGTCACTCGTTTTCAAGATGTATTCTACAAAGCTCTTTCTGGCTATCTCCCTCGCCACCAAAGCCATTCTTGCGAGCACTCCGCAAGGATATGGCTACGGTGACGTGACCATGACCGATACGTTCACGGTTGTGGGCGGCGCTTCAACTGACTCGCCTGCCTACACTGACACGTCGATGTCCGCCGTGGCCACCACTATCACGGACTCCGTCACCCTGACCAAGCCAGTCACTATCACTGTCACTGAGACGGTGACCCTATCACACTCCAAGTGCAGCTTGGATGTCACAACTATCAGCAGTACTCTCAGTACCACCATTACCACCATGATCACCAAGATCAGTATATACATTCCTGGAGGTTCCCCTTCCAAGCCTACATCCACTCAGTCGACGCTGGCTCCCCCAGTCTCTGGGGCCGGTGTGCCCACTACTACCCTCACCATCACTAGCAGCGTTCCTATTGTTTCAACAACGGCAGGGTACCCTATGAGCGGCAGTGAGACCACAGCTTCATGCGAGTCAACCATGAGTAAGTGACAAGCCTTGCAAGTGGTCGCGAACTCCGTGTCGCTATCATTTCACGAATGTGTTCTAACTCTTGATTCTGCAGGCTCGGGAGATGTTGACGGCGCAACCGGCAGTGTGTCAAGCATGTCGACCCTGACCTCGACCATCACCATTGGACCCGAAGCTGAGACTTCAAGCATGAGTTTGGGGTACCCTACGAGTCTCAGCGACACCACAACCCCATGCGAATCAATCATGAGTAAGTAACAAGCTTCCAGCAAGTTGCGAACTATGTGTCGCTATGACCATATGATGAGGTTTTAACTCGTGATTCTACAGGCTCAGACGATGTTGACGGTGCAACTGGCAGCATGACAAGCATGTCGACCCTGACCTCGACTATTACCCTTGCCCCCACTGTCGATACTACAGGCATAGGCTCTGGGCCTGCCAATTATACCTCTGTTATGATGTCCACTCATACATCGTCTTCGCTGGTGCCTGTGTCAACCATTGTTATGTCGCTTGGTGTCCAAGGGATGGTGGAGGCTCGAATCCTTGCGGGAATTGTGGGTCTAGCCACTTTGGCAGTGACTCTCGTTATCTGATCGATTGTTCTCTGAGAACGGTGACGGGCGGGTTGGTGTGGAGGATGTAATTTTGCCCACAGAGGGCGGTTTCTGACTTGGTCATCAGGGATATGTGTCTATTATAAGACAACATGCCTACCTAGTAATCATTCATGTATCTTTCACTCACCATGTATTATTGAGGTTTTCTCTATAGTGCCTTCAATGACACATACTCAGAGCTGTCTCGATTGAACACACATCCCCCAAAGCATGAATGTGAAAGCAAAGAGTAATAAGTATATAATAGTTGTCTTGGTCACTAAGCTCTGATTGATTACCATGTGAATTCGCAAGCTTTGAAATGCATTTATGTTTTTGACTTGGTTCGGTGTATTCAAACCACCGCATCCACTGTAACTTAATGTTCTTGTAGAAATTTACTTGATTTGCAAACTGTTGTTTGGACTTGGAGACAACCATGGCTATTTGACCATCCCTGCCACTTTACTCTTTAAAGCAAATCAAGTGCTATCTATTTGTGTTAAAAATACTATCTATCTTAAGAATATTTACTACTCACTACATCAGCTTTCTCTTGCTGTTTACTGTTTGGAAATCGTTGGTTTTGAAGAAACATCTCTGACGACTTGGTACCTATAATATAGGGCATTTTTACCGCTGATGATGCACAGGACAGCCCTGGTAGCTCAATTGGTTAGAGCGTCGGACTTTTATAAGAGAAATCTTACAATTGGCCATCCGAAGGCTGCGGGTTCGACCCCCGCCTGGGGCGATATTGATTGATGCTAGATTTGTATTTTCTTTTTATGTTTAACCCGACGCTAATGTAGGTTAACAAGTGAGGGGGCAAGCTGGAGTGAATTCAGCATGTTAGGATGTGTAAAGATCATAGGAGTGAACTGAATATTGCTGTTCTACTAACAACCTACTAACTTATTTATGTGTTTTTTGTTAAATTAATTAGATGATCTATCTATCTATCATATATCTATATATTTACATTTGGGCTAGATAGATTATTGTGCTCCGTCCATTAATTTTCTTACCTAGAACGTGACTGTAGATGTTTAAGGGGCACCCTGATGATATGTTTGGTATCCCTAATAACAGAACCATGGGAAATGCTCGTTCAATATATTGTTTTATTCATAGATACACCATCTATTATTTTATAATTTATCTGAGGATTGCTAGGGGAAACTGATCAGCGATAGCCTGGTAGCCTGCCAGATTTGGGTGTAGATGGTCACCACCATCGTACTGGGAAGCGAGTTGTGCTGGTCGGGATGGGTCAGCGAGGAACTTGGCGAAGTCGATCGATGAGACGAAGCTACCACCGCCCCCGCTGAGGATCCATTTGTTCGTGTTCTGCCGCGCCGTATCGCGTACTGGGTTGCTGTATGCCTGCCCGTTGCCACCGAACGGCGCGATAGTTGCCCCGAACATTGTGATACCGGCTGCTTTGGCCTCGTTTGCGATGGTCGTAAATGTTGTTTGCAGAGAATTGGTAATTTGCCCCTGGGTTCCCGAATCTGGTGAGCCGGTGCCGATGTCATTCACGCCTTCGAAGACGAGACCATATTTAGCGCCGGCCACTTGCAGGAGATCACGCTTATAGCGCTGCGCTAGCGGTGGGCCCAACCCGCCTCTTAGAACCGTGTTGCCCCCCGCTGCTTGATTGACGACAGCGATGTTGGTGATATTCTCCTTTTGCATCCTGGCGAGAAGTAGGTCGGGCCATCTAGTTCTCGAGTTAGTTTTCGCTCCAATTCTTTCTCTGCGAAATCAGTTGGGCTCACCGGTTGTTCTTATTGTCGGTACTACCGCGGCCGTCGGTGATGCTATCACCGAGTATCACCAAGGCTGTCGTCGACTTGGGCGCCCAGGCCTCGACAGCATTCAAGAAATACCAATGGGCCGTGCTTGCGCCGGTCACGGTAGAGGCATTGACGTGGTTCCCCTGCTGCATCCACGAGGTTGTACGACTACCGGGGTGCCCCGTAATGCTGCTCCCAGACTGGCCGGCTTGAGAATATAGAGTGACAGTGATCATGGACTGCGGCTCAATCTTGACGTCTATGGGATCTGTATAAACCACTTGACCTTGCGGTATGCTCACCGAGGCTGCGCCGTCGAACGTGAGCCCCTTTAGGGTTTCAGAGTCAACACCACTAACACCAGCAGCACCACCCGCGGGCAGAGCGAGCGATGCCGCAGTAATGGGCAGGGGACTGCCGCCGAACACATTAGAGATCTGGATACGGATCCGCTCCGCGCCGATGGACATATGGAGTGTCTGCCGAAGTGTGGCATCTCTGAACACGCCATTTCCGGCCTAGTAGGTGTATTAATACCCAGAGAGGATGAAATGTGACCAGGTGAGAGTGATACTCACGAATGGAGACGGGGGTAGGTTATCGGGCTCAACCAGTTGTGGCATAGAGGTCCAGGTGGCTACCCAGTGATTGTCTGCGTCTTGTCTCCGTCTTATTTTCTTGCCCTCGAGAGGAATTCCCAGGACGCACGTTGTCCATAGTAGACAGACTGCTGCCGACCACAAGTTAAGCCTCGTGCCCCCTAACATATTCAAAGCAGAGAAGGAAGAAACAAAGTTCACATATAGTTTTTACAGCGAAAACATCAAGGCCAAGACAACGATAACTCGAAGAACAACATGGGCACCGGCACTGCTGTGGTTATATTTGCGGTCTGTCGATCATAATACAGTGGGGGCTCTCCAAAAGACCTCGGACGACGATCTCCGTTCCCCCCAAGAACTAGTATTTAGCCATGTGTGTCTAGCAGCCATGTGTGTCTAGCATGCATCACATGCATGATGGATGAATTATGGTAGATGGACACTATCCGGCTTGGGGAATCTCCTGACTAGTAGATGACAAGACGACGGGGCTAAGAAGAACGGGACGGCATTGATAATGCGGTTTGCGCCATGCCGCAACAGTGACAGCCCTGAGGGCTTGCGCGGTATTTCTATGAGCAGTGCCGCTGGATCCAGACAGACGTGAGCGTGGTGTTTGTTCAGATCGGCTCACGATGGAGAGCGATGCGGCCGCCTCGGGTCATTCAAACACGGCCGCCCGCCGTTGGGTGAAGCGAATCTCGGGCGGTTACACGGCCACCGCCACCGCCGTGGTGCATTTCAGTTTCTTTATCTCAGGTATGTGTACACACATGGATGGCGCAGGATGTGGTGAGCATACAGTCAGTATCAGTGGTACAAGCCAAGGTTAGTGTGCGCTTTGCCGTGGACGATTGGACCACTCGACCATGGTGCCTCAACTCTGCAGCAGCCCGCATGGTCATTTCGAATAACAGGCGAGATGACATCTGACTCTCACACGTACGCCGGTAACGTATGGAGAGAGAGGTATGTCATTGGTTCGAGAGCAGATGCAGGGAGATTACGGCGGTGAGGAGCAACATGCATCCCGCGCTGAAGCATCATGTTTGCTAGGGCCTAGATTACCGTCGGCCTGAAGTCGGCTTCGTACGTCAAGTCAAAGTGGTCAATCAAACAAATCCAGCAGGTAAGTATAGGGAATCATGGAAGGGCCAGACTTGCGTGGATGATTTCATGAGCATTTCGAACGCAAATGAGCTAGCTGTCTGTCTCGTGAAGGGACGGCTGATCTCACCACCTGCACCCAGCCACAGCCAGTACAGTACAGTAGATACCGGACCAGGGGGCCAGGTAAGGTACAGACCTACCTTAGCCTACCTATGCTGCGTATTCAAGTTCATGTGATTGGACAGATTCAGCTTCACTAGTACGAGTACACAATCGATAGAGCGCGGGCATATGCGACTGCCCCTCCCGCTTGCGGCACGCGGCATACAGTGCATATCTGGCTCCTACTAGAACTGTGTACACATCTACCCTGTGAAGCTCCGTCACCGGCTCTGACGAAGGACGCGTGAAGTGAGCGACTGACGACCTCAACACAATGGATCAATTGAATGGAACTCAGAAGCATCGAGACTGCAATTACCATCCTGGACATGACTATGAGTACCTAGGTACTTATATATGGTCTGAGCAGTCGAAGCTGAGAGACACTGTTTACTTAGCCCAGTTGGAATCACGAGCTTGGCGTTGACCAGCACCACTCGAATCGACACTGGCCGAGCTGCCCACGTTTTTGCCCCTCCAAGGAGCTAAAGGCTGAGCTACAGGTGGCAGGTACCTAAGGTAGGTACCTGTGCCGCCTGTATGTACTGTGCCGACTGTCAATGGCTTGCGTCTGGCCGACTCGGGCCCTCCTCTGGTAGCATTTCGCTTTTTTCCCCCAGGTCGAGCTTCGATAGGTTGACTCACGGAACGGCGCCAAAGATCCCATTCCGCAATCCAATCGTTGCCTGTGCTTCCCGTCTCTCGTCCGGTATTTCTGCGAAACTTAATTTGTCTTCTATTTCCATCTTCCATACCACGCCCCCCCGTAATCTCACTCTAGCTCCGGCCCGTCTCTTGTCTGTTTCGCTGTAGCAACCCGACTTGCGCCCTCTTACCAGTATAGCTTCGATTCTTGCTGCCATCGCGCTGTGCCATACGAGACAGGACAGGACAAGTTAAATCACGACAAGTCAGAACTGTATCCATCATGCCGGGTGTCGACATGGAGCCGCTCAAGGCTGATGATATGAGAGGTGCGTAGCTACCCTTCTTCCACTCGACATTTTATTGCTGTGTTTGTGCGCCGCTGGTGATTTCTCCCGTGAAACATCACGGGCAGCCCAGATCAGCAGCCCGAGGTTGGCATCATGGCAATCCTCTTCAAGCAGATCGATCCAGCTTCTCATCGCCTCGTCGCCTTGCTTTTACTCTCCCGCCAGCTTGCTAGTTCGTACGCAGTAGTGCCTAGCCTACTTTGATTTCATCCATTTGCTTTGACCATCGTGCGCTGTTTGTTATTATATTGTCTCGTCATGCTGATATATAGCGACATTCAAGTCCTGGGCCAGGATCCCCTGATCCCTCCCGCTCTGCTCATCTCAGAAATCCCCATGACCGATGCCTCGCTTCAGACCGTCGTCAGGGGTCGTCGTGAGGCCGTCTCCATCATTGTCGGCCGCAGTGACCGCCTGCTCGTGATCGTCGGCCCCTGCTCCATCCACGACCCGGCCACCGCACAAGAGTATCTCCAGCGCCTCAAGGCCCTCTCCGACAAGCTCCAGGACGACCTGTGTATCGTCATGCGCGCCTACCTCGAGAAGCCCCGCACGACCGTCGGCTGGAAAGGCCTTATCAACGATCCGGATATTGATAATAGCTTCAAGATCAACAAGGGGCTCCGCCTGTCCCGCCAGATGTTCAGCGACCTGACGGCGGCCGGCATGCCCATTGCGAGCGAGATGCTCGACACCATCTCTCCTCAGTTCCTTGCCGACTTCATCTCCGTCGGTGCCATCGGCGCCCGCACCACCGAGTCCCAGCTGCACCGTGAGCTCGCCTCGGGTCTGTCCTTCCCCATCGGCTTCAAGAACGGCACCGACGGCAACCTCGGCGTAGCCATCGACGCCATTGGCGCCGCCGCCTCGCAGCACCACTTCATGGGTGTCACCAAACAAGGACTGGCCGCCATTACCAAGACGGCCGGCAACCAGCACGGCTTTGTCATCCTGCGAGGTGGTACCAAGGGTACCAATTACGATAAGGAGAGCATCCGGCAGGCCAAGGAGACTCTGGAGAAGAAGGGACAGAAGATGGCCATCATGGTGGACTGCTCACATGGTAAGTATCTCCCCCACTTCGAT